ATAAGATTAAAATAAGATATTCACCGGAAAAAATTAAGGAATTAATCTCATACTTTGATTTCTTTCATCTAACAGTCCTATAAAGATGTAAAATTAGAATTTTTACCCCATATATAAGTGTATCATAACTCATATATATACTTTTCGAAACAAAACTTGTTTCTATAGTTGTTTTGGCTATAAGTTCGAGAAGAATACGAGGTTTCCTAAGAATGTTTGTAATTGTTCGAGTTTTCGTTCCTTAATCGATTTTTTAATTTATCTAGGTCCTTTTAAGATAATATCTTTTTAGATATTTTCTTAGTAATTAATAATATACACATCTTACTAAAACAACTGATTAAACTTATGATTTCTAAAAAGAATAATATTTTCTTTTTTCGTTAAGATCGTTTGATAGATTCGAATCCTAAACGATTTAAATATTAATATATATATATATATATTTTATTTAATTAAAATAATTACAAAATATTATCTATTCTAAATACTCTTAATAAATTTGACAATCAAATCACCCTCGTGCATTAATATGATCATTGTTTTGATTAATATATTCAATGTTAGTTAACTCTATTCTCATTATAATAATAAATATTGATATTTAAATATAAATTAATATTTAATGTATTAAGGTGTATAATTATATATATATATATTATAATTATTATATATAATGTTCAATATTATGAGATAGACAATCATAGTGGGCATTTTGCTTCGTTTTTGGGCTTTGTTTTATGAGAAGATGTTCTTTGAATCAACAATGGATTTATCTTTGGAAAACCCAGATTCTGCAACCACCTAGAACTTTCTTTTTCTTTCCATCCAAACAGCGACAAAAGCATCAAAATCAAACTCAATGTTCTGAGAGCATTCCAGAGTCTCTCCACGTGTCATCACCCAACTCGGTCACACTGTCATTCTTTGGTCTGGTTTCTTTTAAAAGAAACTAAAGACCTTCTCCTTCCTCGTATGATCTTCAACCTTGAGCTCAGCCTAAAACCTTAGCCTTAGCATTCTTCGCATTCTCTTTTCTGCGGTGAATTATGGGTTTCTCAATCCAAAGAAGAACCTTTGTCCACTCTCAATCCATCGTTCTTGTAGTTATTGTCTGCAAAAAATGGCGTCTTCCAACGCCCAAATCCACGTCCTTGGAGGCATGGGTTTCGCTTCTTCTAGAAAACCCAATAACCATTCCCCCAGAACGGTTTTCTTCGGGCTAAGGCTGCGCAATACGTCGTCGTTAAACGCCACCTTCTTACGGCTCGCCAACGTCGGCAACGGTAAACAGTACAATGTTGGGCCGGTGAGAGTTTTGAACGAGAAAGTGGTGGGAATCGATCTCGGGACTACTAACTCCGCCGTGGCGGCCATGGAAGGGGGGAAGCCGACAATAGTTACGAATGCGGAAGGGCAGAGAACGACGCCGACCGTGGTGGCGTATACGAAGAGTGGGGATAGGTTGGTTGGGCAGATTGCGAAACGACAAGCCGTCGTGAACCCTGAGAACACGTTCTTCTCGGTGAAGAGGTTCATCGGAAGGAAGATGGCGGAAGTGGACGAGGAAGCCAAACAGGTTTCTTACAAAGTTATCAGAGATGAGAATGGAAATGTTAAGCTTGAGTGTCCTGCCATTGGTAAACAATTCGCCGCCGAGGAGATTTCAGCTCAGGTATATTATATTGCGGGCGTTCTTACTTTTGCTTTGAGTACTCAACCATTCGAGTCATAAAATTTGTAGTCAGGGTGACAGTCTTATTCTATAATTCGAATTTTATTTAAAAAAATTTCTTAGTCAAATCTAATTTATTAAATTTTAATTAAATCGAGTTAAATTTATTGAATTTCTATATAAATTTTAATTATAAATATTTATAATAATGTATTATTCGAATCATATACTATATGCATGTATATTTTTTTATATTTTTGCATTCGTAACATACATATACGAAATATACATGTATCACGTAGAGTCAAAGGAACTCTATTTGAAAATTAATCCTCTAATTAGTAATTTTTTTTTAGTTATTCGAGTTTTATTTTATAAGTCCACTCAAATTTAAAATCTTTTCTAGGTACAAGATCACGAGTCGACTCTTTAACATCGAGTCGAGTTGAAAATTTTAGTTTGTTTCAGTCGAATCGAATTTTACTTACCACTAGTTATGTTGTTTATGAATTAGATAGCCTTTACTATGATTCTGTAGCCCGATTCAACAATAATCGAGTCCAATTCGAGTGTTTTCGCTGCTGAAACCGAATACCTTGTGAATTTAGAATATTTCTATGTTAAAGGGTTGTTTTTACTGTTGGATATAGGTTTTGAGAAAGCTTGTTGATGATGCATCGAAGTTTTTGAACGATAATGTGACCAAAGCTGTTGTTACCGTCCCTGCTTACTTCAATGATTCCCAAAGGACGGCTACGAAGGATGCCGGTCGAATCGCCGGGTTAGAAGTTCTCCGGATTATCAATGAACCTACTGCTGCCTCTTTGGCATATGGGTTTGAGAAGAAGAACAATGAAACCATCCTTGTTTTTGATCTCGGAGGTGGTACTTTCGACGTTTCGGGTATGTTGTCCACTTGTTATGTTGTATGTTACAATGAGTGAATGACTTGATCTTTTGTTGGTTAAGAACTGAAGATAACACCAGAAAATGATTTGTTGTGTATTTGTTGATATGTGACAGTGCTCGAGGTTGGTGATGGAGTGTTTGAAGTGCTTTCTACGTCCGGAGACACGTTTTCCGTTATGTTATGTGTCGTTCTAGTGGTGAAGCATGTCATGTAACTTGTTTCACTTGCAGAGAATTGTTGATTGGCTTGCTGAAAACTTTAGGAGAGACGAAGGCATAGATCTTTTGAAAGACAAACAAGCTCTTCAGCGGTTAACCGAGACGGCCGAGAAAGCTAAAATGGAGTTATCGACTTTGACTCAGACTAATATAAGGCATTGCTCTCCTCTTTTTTGATCATGCTTTCATTTCTGCAAATTTCTATCTGGTGTTTAGTAGCAGAGCCTTTTTCTTGCTCGGTTGCAGTTTACCTTTCATTACGGCCACTGCAGACGGGCCTAAGCACATCGAAACCACACTTACCAGGGTTAAGTTTGAGGAATTGTGCTCAGACCTACTTGACAGGTAGTGTTTATGTTCCTAAATTTTGTACTCAGTTTTTCAGGTTTATCATCTGTTTAATATGTTCTGTAGGCTCAAAACACCAGTGGAGAATGCCCTGGGGGATGCAAAACTTTCCATTAAGGACATAGCTGAGGTTATCCTTGTCGGTGGGTCTACACGGATCCCGGCTGTTCAGGAACTCGTAAAGAAGATGACCGGCAAGGAACCTAATCTGACGGTCAATCCGGACGAAGTTGTCGCTTTAGGGGCTGCAGTTCAGGTGGGTTTAGTCTTCATTAAGTTGCCTTGAAAGTTCTAAATCAAATTTTCCTTTGCAGTTGAATGTGGTAGAGTTGGTTATAGAATTTGAATGTGATAAGTCCTATTGTTGTTTGAAGTTCTATTCTTAGAATGTTTCCTTTCGCCTCCCCGTTATTGTAGGCCGGTGTTTTAGCCGGAGATGTCAGTGATATTGTGCTTTTGGATGTTACACCATTGTCACTTGGTCTAGAAACACTTGGTGGTGTTATGACCAAAATTATCCCAAGAAATACCGCATTGCCAACCTCCAAATCGGAAGCCTTTTCAACTGCTGCCGATGGCCAGACAAGCGTCGAGATTAATGTACTTCAAGGTGAAAGAGAGTTTGTTAGGGATAACAAATCGCTCGGAAGCTTCCGACTTGATGGGATCCCACCGGCACCACGTGGAGTTCCGCAGATCGAAGTTAAATTCGACATTGATGCCAATGGTATCCTCTCTGTGACTGCTGTCGATAAGGGAACGGGGAAGAAGCAGGACATCACTATTACTGGTGCCAGTACCTTGCCCGGTGATGAGGTATGTATATTTGATATTTCTGGTGTTACTCGGATGAATTGCTCTTAATTTTCGAGCTGTTACACAAACTATATCGAAATATTACTAAATTTTATTGTGATGCAGGTTGATAGGATGGTGAAGGAAGCTGAGAAGTTTGCAAAGGAGGATAAGGAGAAAAGAGATGCTATAGACACAAAGAACCAGGCAGATTCTGTAGTGTATCAGACAGAGAAGCAGCTGAAAGAACTTGGGGACAAGGTTCCTGCGGCAGTCAAAGAGAAGGTAGAGGTGAAACTGCGAGAGCTCAAGGACATGATTTCAGGGGGCTCGACACAAGGTATAAAGGATGCCATGGCTGCCCTCAACCAAGAAGTAATGCAGCTTGGCCAGTCGGTCTACAACCAACCCGGCGCTGCCACTGGCCCTACACCTGGTGGTGAAACTGGACCTTCAGATTCATCATCTAGCAAGGGGTCTGATGGGGATGTAATTGATGCGGATTTCTCCGACAGCCAATGAAAACAGGCATTGACCATGTGAGGGTTGGGATTGAATTTTCTATCGTTTTAGTTCCATGGTAGTGAGTGAAAAGTGGAAAACTAATGATTTTAGAATCATGGATGATATACTATATATAGGAGAATGTCCAAACCGTAAAGCTCTTTGGGTGATAAGCCTGTGTATATTTTAACAAATGAATGTTAATGAATCCTGTATCGACCACTGCCTTGTTTCTGTATATTTGACCGAAGCAGGTTCGAACCAATTTGATTCGGTTCGATTCGAGTATGATCTCCTGTTTCATAATCTGCATTTCTCAGCCTTGAATGGACTCATTATCATCATACAAGATGTTTTACCTGGGGATGCGCAGAATGTCATATTTGAACATGATGTATGTTTCTCTGGGGATGAGCATTTCTCAACTTCTTTATCGGGTGCGATTGGCACGATTATTACAAAACTCTATTGATACAACTGATAATGTAGAGGATTTGTTCTTAGGGCTTATACATGTCAGTTTGTGTGCAAACTCTTTGTTCACTATTACCAAATGAGCCAGGTCAACTTGCATTCACCACTCTGATGATCAAATGAGATGTTTTATTGCAAGAAGAACGTACTCCACCTATGCTTTGGAGAGATCGACCTTCTCATTCATCGGAGTTACTGCATTGGCAGATGGATCTTCTGAATCAGATGGTTTAGATTCATGCTTTGCAGCTGCCTGCAACACTAGGCTTTGGGCTTCTGACAACGAGGGTGAGGTTGGAAGTCCAATGCCGTTGGTTTCTAACTTCCCGGAAACCCATGAAAAAGTCAGAGCTCCGAATCTAACAGGGGCTAGCAACAACCTTCAAGATGTATTTCAGTTGGAAGAAACAAACCGTCGTTGAGGTTTCGGTGAAATTCAAAAGAACAGTTTGATGGATGAAGAATCTTAATACTCATCCTCGTGTAAATCTAATAACTATGCAAAAGCAAATGAGAGACGCATCTAATAACTTAATCAATGATAAAAAAAATATACTTGAGTCTCAAGTTCATAAGATTTATCTAATTCTCAGCACATTGCAGACAAAAGAACGTGCCACCCTCGAAAATAATGCATCGGAAACAGTTATATCAACCATTTTTCGACAACAATATCATGTAAGATCATGTCATCAATGGCCATTTAGTTTCGGCATGGATGTTAAACATGGTACTTCAAGTAAAATCATGAGTTTGAGCAATGTAAGTGCTTTGGAGGCTGTACGTTGTACCTTATGTCTTCTTTCAAATCCTCAGGGCCCTCGTATGAAGAGACTCGCCGATAGATGGTCTAGTTAAGTCACAAGCCGACAATGAGTAGGCTTAAAGATCACCATTATCAGATACCAAGAACTCGACCTAAACATTTTAAACCAGGATATTTACATACCAGGACTAGACCAACAATGCCAATAAGCTGCAATGATTTCTCCCACTCTAGAAAGAATCGGAACATCGGTAAACATAAAAAGCGACATAAAGTAAATGGTTATGAAGACAAAACACATGGGAATTTATATTAGAGAGGACATAATAAATAACATTTTCTCTTGCTCTTTCTCCATAATTTACAAATCAGAACTACTTATGACAGATGAACAATCAATAATTTCTTCCAGGTTTCGATTCAACAGCGAAAAGAAAAGGAACTGAGATTTCAGAGGACAAGATACGCACCTAGTAGTGCATAAATTGCTGCTACAGAACCCTGCCACAGAGATATTTATTAGAATTTGATGGGGTTTTAACTGATATAACTCACATGTTACATGTGAGGAAAATAATGACATCGGACCACGTTACGATTCCAAACACACTTCTAACGTCACCCGAGCTAGCGTAATAACGAGAATACACACATTACAATATACCAAACATACTCCTAACATAGCTAAAGCTAGTTCAACAACAAGAACACCTTTCTTTTAGCTAGCACATGAACTTAAAAAACTACATATTGAAAAGGGATCCTGAGCCTCTTACCACACAAAACCCGAGAACTTGCACCGGAGAAGGACTAATTTCTTTTAAGATTTCCTCAGCTTCCTGTGGTGAGCACAAGTTAAGATTACATTCAATTAGAAGGACTATTTCTACTAAGCTGAGGAAAGAGTACAGCATAATGAATACCTCGTTGAGTATCGTAAGTGTTCTCTGGTTTGAGTTCCTTAACTCGGAGAGCTGGTTCACCCAATACCGGAAACCACCCTGGACCAGGTATGGCTTCTGTGATTTTAAAACACATAAAATATTAGGTTATGCAATCCGTTTCACAATACCAGAAAACCCAAAGTCACTAAATGCAACAATTCATTTCAGGTATGTGTTCAAGAGTTCAGAAGATAAGATATCGAGAAAAAACGAGTTAGATTAGCCTGAGACAGCAGGCAACAGTTCAATGCTCAGACTCCAAAATGAGATCTTCAAAAACTATAACGGACCAAATTAATAAAAATTTCAACTTTAAACGGGTCTCATCTATGTTGGTTATTTCAAATTGAGATGAATATGTTCTCTCCTTAGATCAAAGAAATTCTAGCTGCCAGACACAACATCAAGACATGGATGTTAATTCATGAAAAGAACCATATGACCTTTCTCAGAATTATTTTCTTAAAGAATAACTTTGAAAATTTAAAAATGCTTACTGTAATCCCAAGTTTTCTCAATGATCTTGCAATTCCTTTGGAACGACTACCATCGTCATCCACAATTATGACCTTCGACCTGCCCTACAAGTGGTAGAAAAAGAACATATGTATAAATTATGATGTTTGATTCACAGGTCAATAACAATGGCCGCAGTCGGCAGTTAACTTTAGCTACATCCAATAAGGAAAAGACTGGATGTGCATGATCAACCTCTAGACAAATGTAAATAGCTTAGCATGACTTTAAACATTGACAATCCCCTTTCTCCCCTTCCCCTCTTCCTCCAACCTATGTAATGAAACGTGGCTTTGAAAAACTTAGATTCACGGTATGACAATAAAACTAAGTTGACAAAGAAGAGAGAAAAGATAATAAAGTTCATAGAAATACGAAGCTACAAAATCATATGGGGAAGTGTTCTCAGTAGCCTAAATGTGATTGAGTTACAGAATTTGGTTAGTCCGAGCCTAAGTTCTTTCACTCTTTCTGCAAAGCTCTAGCTTAAAAAACAGCTAAAACCAGTGAAGAGGTAAACAATGGAAAACAAGAAGATACAAACCTCAATGGTTTTCAAGTTTCGAATAACAGTAGCAATCAAGGAGTCATCAAGGTCCCTTCCACTCTTCATTAGATTCCGTATTGAGCCATTAACCTGAATGAAAACGAAGACAATAAAAGATAAAGCTTCGGGAAAGCCAAAAAAAAGGTAAACTTTTCAAGTAAGATAGTGAAGTTTAACCGGACCTCAGGTAAATATACACTAGCATAACGAGACCGAGCTGCTCGTCGAAGATCAGGAATGCCATCTCTCTCTCTTAAGACCTTGACAAAGTTAATGCCCCATAATAAGCCACTTCAGATTCAATATAATAGGAAAAACAAATTTCAACTTTAGAGAAGTAATAGATATTAATCATCCACGAGGGCAAATGGCACTCAAGGAAGAGGGGCATGAAAGCACTATGAGAACTAGGTTGATTAAGTCTCTTTGAATAAATGCATATTCCATGATACAAAAACTTAAAAGCCCAAAACTCACTGGAGCTTTTCTCAGGTGGGGTGCAGGATAGGCTTAGGACAGAGAACTAAGTTTGAGCTACGGTGCCTTCTTGTCTTGCTCAAAGACCAAAATAAAAGGGCAAAAAAAAAAATAGACAAAAGACTTTATGGTATCTTGCCTCAGGCCAGACATCAATAAGTAAAGCATTCTCCTTTCCAGACAAGAGCTCCAAAGTTATTAATTTGTATCTACTCGCAGATATCTAGAAACAGAAGTTTGTTTGTGGATCATCTAAGAACACTAAAACCATGAGTCATGAAACTGATATGAAAGCCAAATAAAAGGATACCCGTTGCAGGGCATCCCCAACAGGCTTTAAGGCTTTTCCTGTTTTCCCTTCATACAAAGTTATTAATTTGTATCTGTTAGACCTGCCTTTATGATACTGCTTCTTAATTTTAACCAGGATTATTACTTTGGTAGAAATTCAATGAGGCAACAGCATAATGAAATTAGTACTGAACCCTAATATCAGATTTTGAAGAGATAAGCATACTTTTGTTTGCTTCATCCCCTTTGGCCTTTTATCACCTTGATGGGAGAGTTGTTTGAGACCGCCTTTAACTTTTATAGTATTCTCTTTCCTATTCTAGAGGAATGCACTCATAAGTGAAATGGGACACCGGAATGTTCCTTGGTGTTTGATTCTACCACCAGTTTATATTTTCTGTAAGTTCTAGATTGCTAACACTACATTTTAGCCCCTATTCTTCTTTAATTCAAATTACGAGTCAAATAATGGGAAATAAAACGAGTACGAGTAATTTCCCTATAACCAGATTAGTGAGAATGCGAAATAAAAGCGGAAAAATAATACCCGAAATTGATAACGGAGTTCAACCAACTTGCTTACGTCTCCGAACTACTGCAAATCTTTTACTAAGAGAGAAAATTTACAGGTGTTTACAAAACACTCACTACTCACAAGAAAGCTCTCTAGAATTGGGAGAAAGAAATGATTTGGGATTATTTTGAAGCTAAATGGGCTAGGGTATTTATAGTTGAAGCTTATGGACTAATCTTGTAAATAGCCTAAAGTGTGCAGTGGCTAAAATGTAATTAACCCAAAAATATTTTAATTAAAATTCGGTGCCCCATTTATTGAATTAAAGTGTGCGGCGCCCCCTATTTTTGAAAACAATTCAGCTGGGCCCCCCTTTTGACTTTACGTTCAACAATCTCCCACTTGAATATTGATTTTAATCTTTCTTCACACCTCGATTAATGCATCAGCATTTCTGGTCTCGTTATTCTAGCATGCCAACTGAAGCTGAACACAACTTCAGTTTGTCCGTGGTTACCGTCTTTCTTAGCATGTTTGCCGGATTTTGAGCTCCACTAATCTTTTCAAGTTTCAAAATCTCATCTTCCAGAAGAGATCGGATAAAATGATATCGTAATTGTATGTGCTTCGTCCTGGAATGAAAAGACGGATTCTTTGCTAGATGGATAGCACTTTGACTGTCGCAATACAAAACATTGTTTTCTTGTTTCTTGCCTAACTCTTCTAAGAAACATTGTAGCCAAACCATCTCCTTGCTGGCTTCCGTAACAGTGACATATTCTGCTTCAGTTGTGGAGAGAGAAACTATATTCTGTAGTTGAGAAACCCAACTCACCGCGGTTCCTCTTAGAGTATAGACATACCCTGTAGTGCTCCTTCTGATGTCAACATTTCCGGCTAAGTCAGCATCTACATAGCCTGTCAGTATCGTATCTCCACCTTTGAAACAAAGTGCTTTGTTTGTGGTACCCCGCAGATATCTGATGATCCATTTGACTGCTTCCCAGTGTACCTTGCCTGGATTATTTATGTACCTGCTAACAGCTCCCACTGTATGAGCAATATCTGGTCTGGTACAAACTATGGCATACATCAGACTTCCAATTGATGAGACATACGACACCTTCACCATGTGTGCACGCTCTTCCTCCGTCTTTGGTGACTGTTCTTTGGAGAGTCTAAAATGAACACCTAAAGGTGTACTTACTGGTTTAGTATCTTGCATGTTGAACCTGGAGAGTACTTTGTTGATGTACTCAGCCTGTGATAACATCAAAGTCCCCAACTTTGTGTCTTTCTTGATCCTCATCCCAAGAATCTGCTTTGCAGCGCTCAGATCTTTCATTGCAAACTGCTTCGATAATTTTTGCTTCAAGTTTATAATCTATTGCATGTCTGAACCTGCAACAAGCATGTCATCAACATACAACAATAAAATAATGAAGTTATTATCGAACTTCTTGATGTAACAACAATGATATGCTTGGCATCTGGTAAAACCACTACTACTCATGAAGCTATCGAACTTCTTGTACCACTGTCTAGGAGTTTGTTTTAAACCATACAAGCTCTTCTTCAACCTGTATACCAGGTTTTTCTTGCTTGCCTCTATGAAGCCTTCTGGCTGCCTCATATAGATTTCTTCCTCCAAATCACCATGAAGGAAAGCTGTCTTTACATCTAACTGCTCAAGATGTAAATTTTCTGCAGCTACAATTTTCAACACCAGTATGATTGTAGACAGTTTTACAATTGGAGAGAAAATTTCATTGTAGTCAATACCTTCATTTTGTTGGAAACCTTTGACAATCAATCTTGCTTTGTAGCGTTTGCTCCCATTGTACTCTTCTTTGATCCTGTAGATCCACTTGTTATGGAGCTATTTCTTGCCTGGTGGTAATTCAGCTAATTCCTAAGTCTGATTTGACATAAGCGAGTCCATCTCATCTTTCATGAAAGACTCCCACTTGAGTGAATCCTCGACCTGCATTGCTTCATCATAGCACTCTGGTTCACCATTGTCAGTCAGCAACAAGTAGTGCAAAGAAGGCGAATAACGTTGGGTTGGTTTAGGAATTCTGGAGGAGTGTCTTAGTTCCAATGTGCCTGGTTCTTCTTGAACTGCTTTAGGACTGATCTGAACATCATTTCCAGAAATCTCCTCGAACTCAGCAATTTCCTTTGTTTCAGCTTTGGTATTGGAGCTGCTTGATTCTACAGTTGACCTGACTTTGTACATCACATTCTCATTGAAAATGACATCTCTGCTTCTGATGATCTTCCGATTTTCATAGTCCCAAAACCGGTAACCGAACTCATCACCGCCATAACCAACAAAGGCACATTTGTGGGACTTAGCATCAAGTTTACTTCTTTCAGCAGAGTCTATGTGTACATAAGAAATACAACCAAACACTCTTAAGTGTGAAAGGTTTATTTCTTTCTTGCTCCAAACTTCATCTGGTATTCTTCCATCCAAAGGAATTGAGGGCCCACGGTTGATCAGGTAAGCTGCAGTGTTAATAGCTTCAGCCCATAGAAATTTGGGTAATCCTGCATGTATCCTCATGCTTCTGGCATGTTCATTCAGAGTTATGTTCATGCGCTCTGCTACGTCATTCTGTTACGGTGTCATGGGAACTGTTGTCTCCATCTTGATCCCATTGTTTACCCAGAAATATCTGAATCTCCTATTTCTGTATTCTCCTCCATTGTTAGACCTCAACCGCTTGACTTTCATATCAGTCTCATTTTCCACCATGACCTTCCATTTTCTGAAGGTATCAAAGACTTTTGATTTCTTCTTCAGAAAATAAACTCACACCTTCCTTGTAGAATCATCGATGAAGGTGACATAAAATAATGAGTCTGCAAGAGATGGAACTGGGATGGTCCCCGTACATCAATATGAACCAACTCTAACTTTTCAGCCTTGGGTGTCTTACCAATCTTTGCAAAGCTGACTTTATTTTGTTTGCCAAAGATGCAATCCTCGCATAGTCCGACATCTACATTCTTTAGATCCGATAGCTTCCCTTTTGACAAAAGTGTCTTTATCCCTTTCTCGCTCATATAACCAAGCCTTTGGTACCATAGGTTTGATTTTCCATCAACATCTACTACTACAATGATATTCTCTAAATTTGAGGTTACATAGAGAGTATCAGTCTTCTTACCACGAGCAATGACGAGTGCTCCTTTGGTAATCTTCCGTTCATAACCTGAAAAGGTTGTGATATATCCTTCTCCATCAAGTTGTCCTACAGAAATCAAAATTCTTTTGAGGTCAGGAATATGTCTCACTCTTTTTAGCGTCCAGGTGGTCTGGTTTGGAAACTTTAATCGGATGTCTCCTTTTCCGACGATCTTCAAGGTTTCATCATCAGCTAGATGAACCCTCCCAAAATCACCACTGACATAGTTCTCCATGATTTCTCGGCATGGGGTGAAGTGGAAAGATGCTCCTGAATCCAAAATTCATTATTCAATCGGACTGTTGACGCTTAGAATCATGGCATCACCTGTCTCCTCTGTCACGTTTACAGATTTCTGTGCGCTGGTATTTTTCTTCGATGCTCGACAATCTCTTTTAAAGTGACCCTTCTTGCCGCAGTTATAACAGGTAAAATCTTTCTTTCTCGTTCTGGATTTGGATCTACCACAATTTGAATTTCTTTCTGAAGTTCTCCCTCTGGACTCCGTGTGCAAGGCTGAGGAGGTTGATGCTTCACCCGATTCTCTCCGTCGAATTTCTTCACTCAATACCAGATCCTGAACATCGTCGAATTTTAATTTGATGTTTCCCGACGAGCTGCTGACTGCTGTAACAGTAGCATTCCAACTGTCTGGTAGAGATGATAAGAGAATTAAAGCTCGAACTTCATCATCAAACTCAATTTTCACAGAATTCAACTGGGTTGTGATAGTGTTGAGTTCATTTAGGTGTTGAGCCACTGATGCCCCTTCTGCCATCCGCAAATTAAATAATCGCCTCATCAAGTGAACTTTGTTTGAGGCCGATGGCTTCTCATACATACTGGAGAGAGCCGCCATAAGACCCGCCGTGGTCTTTTCCTTTGCTATGTTGAAAGTAACATTGCGGGATAACGTCAATCGGATAACTCCGAGGGCTTGTCTGTCGAGAAGAGTCCAGTCTTCATTCTTCATGCCCTCTGGTTGTTTTCCTGAGAGGGGTTGATATAAATTTTTCTGGTACAGAAAATCTTCAATCTGCATCTTCCAAAAGCCAAAGTCCGCACCATCAAACTTTTCAATTTTCACTTTCCCTTCGTCTGTAGCCATCGCTCCCACTCGAATCTGGCTTCGTTTGGATCGTTTCTGACAATTCTTGCGAACCACCATGTATTAGAATACCTCCGTCGACAAATTCGTATCGCCGATAATTTTTTTTACTATTCACGAAATTTACTATTCACGTGAATATTGATTAATAGTAATCTCGTAAAAAATTGATAAAATTCACAACCAAAAGCTCTGATACCAGTTGTTGGGAAATAAAACGAGTACGAGTAATTTCCCTATAACCAGAATGCGAAATAAAAGCGGAAAAATAATACATTGAATTGATAACAGAGTTCAACCAATTTGCTTACATCTCAGGACTGCTGCAAATCTTTTACTAAGAGAGAAAATTTACAGGTGTTTACAAAATACTCACTACTCACAAGAAAGCTCTCTAGTATTAGAAGAAAGAAATGATTTGGGATTATTTTGAAGCTAAATGTGCTAAGGTATTTATAGTTGAAGCTTAAGGACTAATCTTATAAATATTCTAAAATATGCAATGACTAAAATATAATTAACCCAAAAATATTTTAATTAAAAATTAGAACACCGAATTCGGTGCCCTTTGTTTAATTAAAATGTGTGGTGCCCCTATTTTTTAAAACAATTCAGCTGAGCCCCCTTTTGACTTTACGTTCAACATCAAATACTTATTATACTTGGTTGACAACAGTGGCTGTGGTATTAGTAAAGGAGAAAAAACGTTCTCATGCTGATTAATGATGAATACCACACACAAGCTAACGAGTCTTATTTCTGTTACATAGTGTTGCTCCTATTTATTTAGCATTTATTGTGGTACCAAAGAACCTAGTCTTACTTCATCTGATTTTTGTTTCATATCCCATTCAGCAGTTTTTACTACTTTTTTCAAATATACCTCTGAGTGGTATTCGTTATTAGATTCTTGGGAAACTTACTAGAATTATATTACAGGAAGGAATAGGATCCAACATGGTGACTATTGCGGAATACAGGTTGCCCGAGGCCAAACCAGGAACAGCTATGTACTTCGATTTCCCTAGACAATTACAAACTCGGAGAATCTGTTTCAGACTTCTGGGAGATGTTGCAGCATTTACGGACAAGCTTCCCGAGCAGGATGATGCTAGTTTTAGAGCTCCTGTAGTTGCTGCTGTCAAACAGAATTAAGTTGTTTTACTATGCTGATCCTTATGATCTTGGCAAGTGGGCTAGCCTTTCTGCAGTTTGACATTACTCTAACCCAGGTGAAAAATTGGGTTTGAAGATTGGCTTTTGTTTTCGATGTGCTTGCTTCCATATATATATATGTTGTATATTAGTATTTTTTTTTTTGAAACGAACGATTCGAGCCTTGAGAGTTTTAATTTGTTGAGAAGATGGACCTTAGCCTTCTTTAGTATGTATATTAAGAGAGGACTTGAGACAGATAAAACCGAGTCTTTGTACAAGAAAGTCCATGCTGTTCTAAGTGCAGACCCGATCGCGAACAAGTCTGAAATGGAGCCTCCTGGGCAGCATAAGAGGTCGGTTTTTTGCATTTTGGGAACTATGTTAACTAATATACGAGACGAGGTATGATTCTCGAAGTACATAAAAACATAAAATTTAACATGCCCTTATCGGATATATTCGTATGGTGAAAGAACTTGTGTTTGCAAAGCTTTTATATATGCATGTCTTCACCATTTTCATGTTTCTTATTGCAGATTCAACTTGAAGAAGCTGATAATGAGAAAAGGAAAGCCAAGTTGACTGATTGGTTAAACATCTCTATATTGCTACACTTCCTCCTGATTCCAATCCAAAGGCACCCATGTACATTTCTTCTTCTTTTTATCATTGTTTGTGTAGATTGATATATGCACTTGTGCAAGTTCCAATTTTTGTATCCAATCGAGATTGGTTTTGCATTTTTTTTATAATATCAACTGGATCCGATTTATTAAGTGACTAGTTCAGATCGGATCTCGTAAAGGTTTGTTATAAGAACGATTCTTTCTTCTTCTCTCGATAGATCAATTGATAATTAGTAGTTTTGAGTTTGTATTACAGTCTGATCATCATTTTAAATCTATCATCTTAATCCATCTTAATCTTAAAGACTGAATTAGTAAAATAATTACCAGAATTTTGTTAGAATTTAATTATCTAAATATAGTACTGTTTCTTATTATGAAAAAACTAATATATGATAACCGTTTTCCCATTCATCTGCCGAGAATATAAGATTGAGCTAATAGAATTCCATTCAAAATCCCACCAAAGAATGGAAGGCGGAGGGCCACCTAAACCGGCGGAGGCAGCTCAGACGGGACAATCTGACCCGCAAAACAACAACCAGAAAATCTCCACCGGAATGGAAAATATTCCGGCCGTGCCAAGCCACGGTGGAAGGTTTATTCAATACAATATATTTGGCAACATTTTTGAGGTCACTGCTAAATATAAACCCCCTATTATGCCTATCGGAAAAGGCGCCTACGGCATTGTCTGGTATTTTTTTCAAAAATTTTACTTTGTTAATTACAATGTTTAATTCCAATCGGTTATCTATTTGATTTGTTGATTTGTTTTTAATTATTTGTGGGCTTAGTTCCATACTGAATTCCGAGACAAATGAACAATTGGCATTAAAGAAGATCACAAATGCATTTGACAACGAGATTGATGCTAAGAGAACTCTTCGTGAGATCAAGCTTCTTCGTCACATGGATCACGAAAACGTCAGTGAGTTCATTTCAGTTATTTTCTTTTTCAGTATATGGCTTCAATTCATTCGTTAATTCTGCTTTTAGCTTTATTTTTTTATTTTTTTATGTTTTTTCTTTAAAAAAAATTATGCTATGATATTATCCATGATGACAACACATTACTCGAATTGGGTTGGTATTATTTGGTTATCAACTGTTCTTTCTTTATCCCAAAATTTCCTTCCTGTAGTTATGAATAAGTTCGATTCGGGTTGATGTTCGGTTCGAGTTAGTGTTCGATATGAGTATGTTCAATTTCTTTCGAGTTTTTTCATGTATTTAGGTGGCCATCGTATCGTCTTCCTCGTGTTTGAATATATGTCAGACAGTGTTACTTAAAATATAAGAACCCAAGCAACATAGATGGAAAGCCTAGGACGAACACTATCATTTTGCTTATTGCTGCGAGTTAAGTTTGGTATGCAATTTTGATGCAGGTAGTGGCAATCAAAGATATAATTCCACCACCCCAAAGAGAATGTTTTAATGATGTTTATATTGCATATGAGCTGATGGACACTGATCTTCATCAGATAATCCGTTCTAATCAAGCTTTATCAGAAGAGCATTGTCAGGTTGAAATTCAGACGTGGTTACTTTGAATGATGAAATCATATTCCTTTTAGTTACTTGTTTAAGTTTTTATGCTAGAGATAGGGGTAGCAATTTAACCCGAAACCGATTGATTCTGACTCGATCCGACACGATAGGGACAGATTTAAGAAAGTTCAAGTTTGAGTTGGGTAGAATTTTATAGAAGGTAAGGTCAGGATTGGGATCAGATTTGGTGAAAAATCTCTAATCCGACTCGACCTTGAATAATTTTTGCTATAGATTTAGGGATAATTGCTAGAACACTACTCTATAGTTTTTTTTAATTGTCATTTTTGCCGAATAAAAATGATTTTTAGATATTTATGTCGAGTTATTAGACCGGGTGCAAGTTTTCCCCCTAAAATTTCAGGTTGGGTCAGGTTCGGGTGAAGGGAATACACTCCTTGGGTTGAGTAGTGTAGGGTCAGATGGATGTTATATACTTCTCAGGTCGGGTTAGGTTCAGATGAAGGGTGTATACTTCTCGGGTCGGGTCGGGTCGGGTAGGTCAAACCATTGCCATCTATAGTTAAATCTGTCGAACATGAATATTTCAAGATATCGAAAGTCCGAACAACCTATGAACTAATGACCTTCATTGTGCATTGCAGTACTTCCTCTATCAACTCTTACGTGGTTTGAAGTATATACACTCTGCTAATGTTCTGCACAGGGACTTAAAACCTAGCAACCTGATCCTGAATGCTAATTGCGACTTGAAAATATGTGATTTCGGATTGGCTCGTGTCAACTCCGAAACCGATTTTATGACAGAATATGTCGTTACAAGATGGTACCGTGCGCCGGAACTGTTGCTAAACTCTTCAGATTACAATGCCGCCATTGATGTATGGTCGGTCGGCTGCGTATTCATGGAGTTGATGGATCGGAAGCCATTGTTTCCCGGAAGAGATCATGTGCATCAGCTCCGGTTGCTTATGGAGGTAAATTTCTTTTTTTGGTCTCCCAACTAGTGTGAAGTTATCTAACATACAAACAAATAAGTAGCCAAATGTGATTCATTGATTCGAATTCGAAGTTTTTTCCGACACGAGTACGAACATACGATTCTCCAAATACATGAAAATATCGAAATAACAACTGAACATATCAATGTCGGAAACACATACAACATTCATACCTGTATCCAAGTAACAAATTCTGTGATGTTTCTCAAAGAATAATGTACTCTGTCTTGCAGCTAGTTGGCACCCCATCAGAGGCTGAAATGGATTTTCTGAATGAAAAGGCTAAGAGATACATACATCAACTCCCTCTTCATAGTCGACAAACTTTCACTGAAAAGTTTCCGAATGTGAACCCTTTAGCTGTTGATCTTGTTGAAAAGATGTTGAAATTCGATCCCAGACAGAGGATTACTGGTGAATTTTTCTCTTTTCTTTTCGAAATCTGTTACTGAAAAGTATCCTGCCAATGCATGCTAGATGGTCACATTTATGTTAGTTGTTACAGTATATCTCTCTCATCGATCCGATATGCGTGTTGGATGTGAATATGTCGTATATACTCATTCGGATTTGCATAAGGCTAGTATCAAACACAAATACGTAGAACAAAATGAAGAGTCGTTGTACCTTAAGTTGCATAGGGCATGGAATTTATTCGTTTCCAGTCGAGACTCATGTGATGTAATGCTACGTCGTGTTTGCTGCAGTTGAGGATGCACTTGCTCATCCCTACTTAACATCACTGCACGACACAAGCGATGAGCCGATCTGTACGACGCCCTTCGATTTCGACTTCGATCAATATGCCTTAACGGAGGAGCAGATGAAGGAGCTGATATATCGGGAGGCACTCGCATTCAACCCAGAATATCTGTAAGCAATTACAGGCTCGAAAATCCAACAAATACAAATACAAATGTATGATAATAACAATTGAAAGATCATTACAAGCTCTTTAACCGAGAGAAAAATCATGTTCTACAAGTGGTAAATCTTATATCAAGTACAAAACAGTATTTTGAAGGAAAAACAAGTACAAATAATCAAAATATTTTAAATCTAAACCAGAATAAATATGAACTCGCTCGATGGATCGATATGTTCCTCCATTAATTTTGCCTTATTGTATGATATGTACGACAATCTTAACAAACCAAATCCAGCTACCTTCAACTGACCTTCGTACCTTACAAGCATTGTATCAGCTTTTACAGTGGTTGCCTTACTCTGGGCTTAAATGGCCGAAAATTATCGTATCGGATTTGTAATCATGAAGGTAATTCATTCCACTGATATAAAGAAAATGATGGTCATAAAGAAGAGCCATGAGTGCATAATATGATTAAGGTGATTATTACGGACTAATGTTCTTGAAGTATGGAAAAAAGGGTACGTAACAGGCTATGTTGAGAGCGAAGTTCGAAGCTTTATGCGGCGATGATCGTCCTTTCGTGCGAAGGTAGCATCTCAGGTCACCCTGAAATAGAAACATGCATATATGCATATACAATAGACAAATTGACAGAACACAAACATGGAAAAGATATTCAAGCAGCACGCCAGGACTGTAATAGAGTCACGCTTACGCTAGATTGATACTTGGAAACAAACATCATCGGAATATTTAGAGTAACAGCTCCGAAAAATTGAACCAGAATAGGATGCAGGACTTTCTCTAACAAAGTTAGCTCATACTTGAAAGCATTTCTGTTAAAATGAAAAGGACATATATATCTTTTCGTTCATACGAGTCGAAACACCTCTCTAAAAGACAACAAGGTAAGTGCATACATGGTCTCAGGGTCCAAAAAGCTGTTCTTGTCTAGTATCTTTGCGGAGACCTTTGTGCCATTCCATTTCGCCACTTGATATGACCCCTTCGTTACACCATCGGACCTCTGAATTCAAATCTTGGCCCGATTAAGCTTATAATCCGGAACTTCTCCAGGGCTAGAAGCTGTCATTGGAGTCTTCCTGGTTTTCTAATATCAAGCTATAAATCCTCATGCTCCATTGACATCCCCTATACATGCCACAAACAGCAGCTGCATGGTGGAGTCCATATTCTCCAGCACCATCAGCCCGTCCTCGGAGGGACTCCTGTGAATGGAGTCCATCGACGATTGGCACGATGATTGGCAGCTGAAAGTGAAACACCGTCTTAACGTCCTCGTTGAGAGCTAGCAAGAAAACTGCCTTTTTAGCTACACTGTTATTTTCTCAATGGACGGTTTCTTGCGGTACAAGTTACAACAAAGAAACAAGAAAAGGGGTAATGAAATTAAGAACGGAAAAAACGAATAATCAAAGGAAATGATGGAATGCAGAGCTTCGATTGATCAAGAGCCGAGAGGGAAAACATCCGGGAACAAAACTCAATGCTCCCGGTATCGAGCCCGGGAAAGGTAAGAGAAAAACGATCACAATAAAGAAGCTAAGGACATGGTGAGAGAAGATATGAGATCCAAACCCAACGCATGCAAATAATATAGACAAGTTTCAACGGTCAGTCATATTTTTTATTCTTCCTTTTCATCGTCTCTTTTCTTTCTGTTTTCTTTAATGGCGACTCTCTTGAATCCTCGCCTTCCGATCCACTGCTCGAAGCAGAAGGAGTGTCCATGAACAAACTCGAGCTGTCTCCGAGGAGTGTCCATGAAAAGATCTCTAACAACAGTTTCCCTGTTCCTTCCGCTCCCACTCGATCAAGGGTGAGGTGACACATGATTTCCGTGTTCGTAGGAGGCGAAAGCGGATTGATTAATAGGATCGCTGGTGTTTTCGGGAGGAGAGGCTAAAAAGTTGAGTCCCTTGCAGTTGCTTTAAACAAGGAAAAAGCACTGTTTACCATAGTTGTATCTGGTACTGATACAGCCCTTCAACAAGTTAAAGAACAATTACAAAAGCTTGTTAACGTCTGGAAGGTACATACATTCATCATCAATGGAGTCTTAAGTATCTTGGGATTGTCCACTACGAAAATCTTAAAAAGGGTAGATTACAATTCTTAACTAGTACCTCATAAACTCATCATTCGTCATTAGTTTTTCGATTAGTATGAACGATGATTGTGCGATTACTTCGGTTCGGTTTTCTAAAAAAAAGATTGATTGTTGTTCATTACAATTTATCAGGTTGAGGATCTCTCAAATGACCCCCAGGTTGAACGTGAGATAATGCTGGTAAAAGTGAATGTGGATCCTATGTGCAGAGCTGAGGTCCATCCTGCTATGGCTTAGAATGTTGATAGTTCCTTTTAAATTCAATTCTTGTAATATTTTTTTCCTCACTTTGATTGGTTAATCTTGTCTTGTTTATCAGATCATGTGGTTAGTTGGTATCTTCAGGGAAAAGGTTGTGGATTTCTCAGAACATTTGGTAACCATCGAGGTAATATTCGACACAATACGAACACAGCACCATCAAACTAACTACGACGTAACACGAAAAAGAATAAGGACACAATACGAGTACATGAATGTCACAAAATCATAAGTTATTAAAGAGCTGAACACAGGCAACTGGAGATCCTGGGAAGATGGCTGCTGTGCAAAGAAATTTAAGCAAGTTTGGGATCAAAGAAATTGCTAGAACAGGAAGGGCAATGAGCTTTCCTTTGATTACTTGGAAGAGAAGCTTCTAATTGCTACTTTGCTTGTCATCCAAGAATCAACTTCATCTATCAGTTAAAGGGTATCATGTTTGTTCTCTATCTCTTACTAGATTGCTCTCAAAAGGGAAAAAAACCGGTGGTTCGGCTCCGTTACGATGATTTTCGGCAGCTTCTTATCCGGATCTTCAAGAAACAGTACCTGTTAACTCTCTTGCAGGGGCAAGAGATAGATCAGTAGTTATTGAGGCTGATGTTTCTGGAGAGGTAAAGAACTTCTCTGTGTTTAGTTGGTAATGTGCATTATGAAATCTATAGTTCATGTGTTTTTGCCTGTTAATGCAGGGGGATGTTTATCCGGTGGAGTCCTCCGATGATTTTGCCATTTATCAAGTTCTCGGTGCTCATTGGGGCGTTCTCATCAACGACGATGTAAGAATTCTTGTCTCCGGCCGAGTGTCGCCGAGCTAGCTTTTCATCTCTAGTCACCATTCTTGTCCTCATTTTCAGACAAATGAACTTCAATCTCACACATTATCCATACTTGTAAATGAAGATCCTGGAGTTCTAAACTTAGTCACAGGGGTTTTCGCTCGACGAGGCTATAATCTTCTGGCGAGTTTTCCGATCCTTTTCTCTTTTCGGATGTCTCATCTGCTAAATCATTTTTACTATCATCAGAGTATGGCCGTTGGACATGCGGAAACCGAAAGGCTTTCGCGCGTTACGACCGTTATCCCCGGTACCGATGATTCGATTACCAAGTTGGTTCAACAACTCTATAAGCTAGTGGATCTACATGAGGTGAGCTCATGTGGAATAAAACTCACACCCAACATACGTTACTCATAGACATGACAATGGTTCATTTCATTCCTTAGGTGAAGGATATCACCCACCTGCCGTTTGCCGAATGATAACTGATGCTGATAAAGATCGTCGCTAACACCGCGGCTCGACGAGACGCCCTCGACATCATCAACATTTTCGGGGCGAAAGATGTTGACGTCTCAGTCCACACGATCACTCTCGAGGCATTTACTTTACATCTTTGATCTATTAGTAGCGTAACATCCTCAACTCAATTTTTCGAATTAATCACTAATATTTGATTTATTGACTGATTAATCTAAAACGGGTACTGTAAAATCGGTGACGACTTTTTCAACCCAATTTGGAAGGTTTCAATTTTCATGTCAAGGAACTTTTCTTTACTCTACAGATTCATATGTCCAAAATTGCTAAAAGGACTTACATTTTCTAAAATAATTTTTTTTATAGTTTTAAAGATCCAGATATATTTTATATTTATAAAAAATAAATTTAATCATCGACGAATCAAAGTACAATAAATCAAATTTAATTACTAATTAGAATTAAAATATATAACACCAGAATTAACAAATGAACATATGTCATGTACAATAAAATTTCTCTATAAATTAATAATGTCCGGATTACGCAATTTTATTAATTTAAAGAGGTATTAATTAACCGATAAATTAATAATTTATTAATTTAAGGAGATTTTTTCCGATTCAACGACCTACATTATTCTTCATGACATAAATTCATTTAGTGGCGTTGTGACCAGTTGAGAACGCAACATCGGAACTTTTGGATGCAATAAGAAAAAGTTACAGATGAAATACGATTAGATTTTTTTATTAAGCTAAGGTGATTACAAAGCAGTATTTGTTCTAAATACTTTCAATCATTTAACAATGAATGCTCAATCACCCTGTTGCAGTCGTTAGTGCTCGAACCCGTAATCTCTAGGAACAACAACGATTCCTTTAACCACTAAAGTAAGTTGGTTTTTGCACGATTAGATTTAAATTTTAAGAAGTAAACAACAATAAAATCATATTTTATTAAGTTATCCTAGTTATATTTGTAATTTTATAGAATCGTTAATTTATGGTATTGAAGGGACTATAAATTTATATAAGGTTCTTCCGAAAAATTATTATCTTATTAATTTATCAAAATTATTAATTTAGACCTTGGGTCCAGGTCAAGACCGAGAAAAATTATTACTTTAGAGAGATTATTAATTTATCTAGTGTTAATTTATAGAGGTTATATTGTACCTTGCATCTAATATCAAAGAAAGCGATTAAACACAATCCAATATCGAATTGGATATTAGATTTATTTGATTAAATAAAATAAAGATTAAATTGATAGAATATGTAAATTTTGAAGACTAAATGTATAATAATATTAATTTTTAACAGTCCCATCACCTCCTCCGTTAAATATTATCGGTCAATGGCTTGATTGTAAAACTTACATAATTAGGTAATCCAATTAATAAAATTAAAAGATATATAGTCAAAACAAAAATGAATATAATTAAGTGGTCATAAATATAATTTACCCTGGAATATTTTTATCTTCATTTTTTTCAACTTTAAATTAGTGTTTAATCGATTAATTTTTTATTATTATATCACCTCATAACCTGTTTTAATTAATTTTTAATATCACCTCATAACCTGTTTTAATTAATTTTTAATATCATATCTTATATAATAATACATTATATCATATTTTATTTTGGTTGAAGACGCAAAATGCATTTCTAATTACTACTGGATCCACCTCTCGAGAGAGTGTCGACATTCTTAGAACAAAATCCATTTGATTGAGCGTACGGACGGTTTAAATTTAGCCGCCGCACCTTCAAATGAGCCCATCATGTCCTCATATACTTTTTTATCATTACGTCCCATGTGAAATTACTTTCTGCCCCCACCCCCCATCTATTCTATACAAAAACACACACACATATATATATATATATATATATATATATATATATATATTCTTTAATAATATTCTTATTAATCTGAGATAAATACAATACGATATTTGTTTAAAGATAATTTTTTTTAATTTTTTTGAGATTAAACGCTTATGCCTCTTGCATTTTTATTGCTCGAGCCTAGGACCTCAATGAATAAAAACAACTCTTTTATAATTGAAATCGTTTGGTTCGTACTTTTTTTAATAGTTTGATGAATAAAAATAAATTATTGAGATTAAGAGTAAAAATGATAATATTTTTATAAAAAAATAGATTATTATTAAGCTAAAAATTTATTTGTAAAAATGATGGTATCAAAGCAAATGTTATAATTACATCATTTTATTTGTATACATACATACATACATACATATATAAGAATATATTTGTTGTTGTCACCAGATCCAAAAAAATGCCTAGATTGGATCACAGTGCAATTTCTATAGTGATGGGTTTCATGTTGAGAAAGAGCTTAAGCGTTTTCCAAGAGCTTTCGTGGCTGCTCCTGGATTTAGCTTCGGTTCTAACCTCAGCCGTCAGATTCTCCAGCTTGCGATTGTTTCGCCATCGCCGGCAACAATCTTCTGCCGATAATCACCGTCATCGCTACAGGAGATACCATCATCCCATGTCTCCGATGGCCGTCCCGACTTGAAAGAAATCATTATTCATTTCTTTAATCTGTTCTCTTCTTG